CTCATGTATATATATATATATATCTGCTTAAATTATTGGAGTTTAGTGGTAGACAAATTTCTTTTAACTCGGATTTATTAAAATATGAATACTCTTGCAACCACTATGAAGAACTTTTTCTGAAACTACGGAGAATTCGTAATAGCTGGAGTCACTGTACTTACTTAGAGTAATTAAAACATTACAATAATTACAAACTTAATAAAATGCAAATTTTTATATTACTACTTCAAGCACAGTTATGAACCAGAAAATAGTATTTTCCAACAATAAAGTGGTAGTATTATAATACCTAAGGTAGGTAAAACTTGTTCCATAGATATTTTTTCTGCCATTTAAATGGGAAAGTACTTCCCTAAAATTTAAAGCAGTCGTAAATTTTATTTTAAATATTATTTTTGATGTTAAAAACTTGATTTCCTTTAATTTTGTCCAATACTAAATGCAATCGGTATTAAAAAATCAAAAAAAAAATCTGCGGATTGAGCGGTAAAGTTCTTAACTGTTGGCAAAATTAAATAAAATAAGATTTTTTTAATAGCTATTTCGCAACCACTTATAAAATTGTAGAGCGTTAGGACATCTGGGTGTGTAATATGAAATCATCATACGCTCGGATCCCCTTGGCTATTCCTTGAAGATTTTCGATAAGGAACGCTTTACGCATGCGCTCTGTCGTTTTAAAGAAAAGATAGTGAAGACTCGGAAACATAGCGAGCATTTTTAGTTAAGCTAAATTTCATGTATACACATTAAGAAATATGAAGAACGATTCATATTACTGAAAAATAATTTTTCATTTCTTCAGCATAAACAATTTTTGCACAAGGTTACTGCTTTCGAAATATCGCAACAGGCTCAGTTTTTCATCTAAGTTCGTAATTGCGCCAAGTCGCCAAGGGAGTGCTTGATGATTTCACATCACACTTCCGGTTTAGTATCTTTGATCGCACTTAAAAATTACCAATGGATGTTAACTGCTAGACTTTCTGCAACAGATTTTATAAAGTGGTTGAGAATTAAAGTCTAAAACTTGCAGCATAATAAAGATAAAGTCTAAAACTTGCAGCATGTTATAATTAAAGTCTAAAACATGCCTCTCCACCGAAAACAGTAACCAAATTGGCATTTTATATAAACTTTTGAATTAATTGTATGTAAAGTTGGCAATAAAATTTTTTTTTCAGAAATCCGGGCACAAGAAATGAATATATTTAAACCTTTTTGATGAATTACTTTTGAACGTTCTATCCTGGAAATATCACGGGCACGAGAAATAGGAGACGAATGCTCACTTCGTGATTTTGACAGGAGCGAGAGGGTAGTGATTAAACAGTGAAACTAGCATGGCCTGGCATTTGAAAATTTGTTCTGCCGTTAATTGGGTTTGAGGGAAACAAATAAATGTAAACAAATTAAAAATATATTTACACTCCATCGGGATCAGTGCAGAGGAATGTGCAAAGTGTTTTGCAGTAATCTTTGGTGTCGCAGATCTTTCTGCAAACCCAGTTGCACAATCCTGCTTCAGACGTCGCCACAAACACGGTAAGCACCAATAAGAAAAATAGAGCTTTCTTCATCATATCTAAAATAAATATAAATACATCATATTTAAAATAAAAAACAAGTTTAAAACAAAGAATACTTCGAATTAGAAAATAAAATATTTCAAAGAAATAGATTTATCGTTGGCCTTACATTTAAAACTTGTTATTTTTACTCATAACACTAAGGAACAATTTTTTTGCTCTATTTCTATAAATTCTTGATCTTGTTTAATTCGGATGTGGGGATTTCAAATCTTTAATTAGTTTAAATTTTTTGCTGCAATATACAAGACTAAAAATGTATATATAACAGGGAGTCACGTAATTTGAGAGGATATGGGGAGTTAGGACAAATCATCAGGATTAAAATTGCATAGGAACTAATGCCCGGAAATGTCATTGTACGCGGCTAGAGGAGCTTTTTTTATTATGTCTTGCTCGGAAGCCCACGAAGAAGCAATTCATGATAGAGAAGCGCTCCTAGTGGCGTGTGATGGCATTTCCGGCCATGGGTTCGTATGCAATTTTTTATCTAATAATGTGACCTAACTTCCTTAGAATTTTGTCGCAACATTTACTACTACATTACCGCAACATTAGACTTCCTGTTGTATATAAAATCATTAATCCTGTATATTTTGACAAATAAATAAATACATAAAAAATGGACTGAAAATGAAATATAAAAAACACTGTAATTTGGAGATAGAAACTGATTGCAGATTTGAAATCAGCACTGTGAGAATATCCTAGATTCGCTAAAAAATCTCATGCAGGAGAAAACACAAAAATATTGCACCCCAGATTAATGAGTTAAAAGCCAAATTACTTCTTGATGTTCCACATAATGATAATATAATCATTAATAATTGAAATTCGGCTTCGATTTAAATGACTTCATTAAAAAAAGAAAAAATTCTTTTTTTTTTTTAAAAAAAAGACAATAGTTCATCCAAAATAATAAACCATGAGGAATATTTTTTGTTTTTGTTTTCTGTTGTTGTCGTCGTATGCCATTAAGGCAAAGAGGTGCGCTTCTTTTCGTTTTCCAGCGGCGTAACCTATGGCCAAGAATTTTGAATTCAACTTCTGCCACATACATACGTCCCAGCCAGTTCATAGGCGGACCCATTCATACATTTATTCATTCATCCACTGATCGTAATTTTGACCTTAACCCGAGAACGATCAATTCAATACCAATTCAGTACCCCCAGAAGTATGATTTGTTATGGGAACATGGAGGAATTTGTGACTAGACAGATTTAACGTGCTCCAGTCACCATTTACTACTCGGGGAATCTTCGATGGGCGAGGATCGAACTCCCGACCCGTTGGATACTGGCCCAATGCCCTTCCAACCATGATATCTCGGCCTTGTTTTCTGTTGCATGAAATTTTTAAACGGATGTTAAATATTTTATTGTTGCTGATTTAAAATCTGCAGTCGGTTTCTTTCTGGAAGATACAGTCGTATTTTTTTCTAAAACTGACTTTTTCGCAACAAATTGTTCCTTAGTATCGTTATACCAAACCAGCATGATGAATAATAAACAGACCTGTTCAAATCTCTTAATCTAGTACAATAGCTCCACGACCTAATACTTCTCTATTTGTGCATACTTGTCAACTTTTAATTCTGATAGAAATTCGCTTTCGTGGAGAATTTCTCATGGGACTAACTCTCATTTGCGTTACATGGACAGGAAAGCCATGAAAAGTTCCTACTGTTAGCCTGATGGCAAAGAGACTTATTCATGATCCGTCTACCACTGGGGATATGTTACGTCAGCTCTGTGGTTGGTGCGAGACGGATGCGGATTCTACCAGTCATCGCTTGTATTCGAACCGTGGTCACTTAATTGGGAGGCGAGTGCTCTATCACCTGAGCCTCTATTGTTCTCTATATTGGTTGGAAAAAAGGTGTACAGTTGGTGAAGACAGGTAGTTTACAATTTTCTCGAATTTTCTCTGGATAACAACACTACTTACAGAAACCTCGTATTATTAACTGTGTAAGATATTATTGCCAAGGAAATGAAACAGAAAGAGAAACAACTGTAAAATTGCATTTTAATTGCTCAGCAATTTTTTAGCATTGTTAAGTCATGTCCTGTAATGTCCCGTTTTAGTGTTAAGAATTCACCGCTTAGCTCATGTAATTTAACGTCTTATTTGAATTGCTTAAGTCTTAAGCTTTAAGCCGACAATCTCATAACCATTTAGGCCTTGAAGGTGGAAATTCAGCTCTGTATTAACGAATTTCAAGCACATATCATTAAAAAAGTCTGTAAATTTTAAGAAAAGAGTGCGTATGAGCTGGATCGCTCATTTTCCATACTGCAAACTTAATAACCCAATGAAAAAAAATCAAAAAATTTAATTTTACCCCTTCCTTCTCGCTCCCGTGAAATTGACGGGCTGGAGTGCTCAAATTTCTGGAATAGTTTTAATGAAGCGGTAGCAAATTACATAGTAAAATTCGCTAAAGAAAGATAGTTACGCCTACTTTTTAATATAGTAACCAGTGGTTTGATGCTTTAACGTTGCATTTTATATCATACTTATTAATTTTTGATATTTAGTGGTGGAAAAATTACTTATAATGAAAAATACTAAACTAAAATTAACTTAAATTTCGCTACCACTGAAAAATACTATTTACAAAAGCCAAAACAATAGGCACTTTTGTGATCGTTTTCTTTATCAAATCATGTTTAATTTATCAAGCAAATATGCTTGATTTCCTGTTCTGCTACCTTAATGTTGCATAAATCAAAATGTTTTTAATTTAACTTGTAAATATTTCATGATGTATGGGTTAGGGGCCGCTGCGCGGCCTAAAAGGAGTTTAGTTGGCAATTTTAGTTAAATAAAGAGAAAGATCGTTTTCTTGAAAATTAACCGATCGTTAACAGTGATGCCAACAGCTCCGGACACACCAAAGTAATTTAAAAAACGGTAAATAACTACAAACAAAAATTTGCTAATTTTTCAAAAAATATTTCAAATTTACTGTAAAAAAAGTGGTGAATATACAAGCCTACGAATTATTTAGAAATAGTGGTGGATAAAAATCTAATAAATTGAATTTTTTAAACAAAGAATCACAATTAAAAAAGTATCACTCGAAAATATTTATTCGCTGTCAGGAGCAACTTGGCATCTCTGCGTTAAGGGGTTAAAATTTTTTTGGGGGGAACAAAGATACTTTTTGTGGGAATTTCAGAGCATCCTGTATATGACTTGGATAATAGTTATTAAAATTTCTTATACTTTTCTTACAAGTAAATGAGGATTTAAAAATATACATACCTTAGTTTAGTGGTAAAAGAGAAATAATTGAACGATATCAATCCTTTTGAGGCATTTTAATCTAATAATTTCGCTTATCTTTCAATTAAACAGATGGAATATATCCCACTGCAAAAATGCAAGATCAAATGTTTTTGAGTTATCATGTAGTCCCACCATTTGATACTTATCAATTATCTGGGGTTAAATTTCGTTTCGTTTTAGGATTAAAAATCATACTCCGAAATATCATTGAAGGATTTTGAAAGGACTCACACGGTTTACATAAAAGTATATTTTTGAAAATTTAAAAATGTATCAATAAAGTTTGGTGATCTTAAAAGCTTGATTAGTGTTACTACTTCATTCGTTACTATCCTAAATTTATAAATAGTTCGAAATATATGTATTTAGAGGCGCGGTGGTTCAGGGGTAGAGCGTTCGTCTCTCAATGAATTGAACCAGGTTGTTATCCCAGTGGTAGCTGGTTGATGCAAATTCTGCTCCCTGCTCGCACCGACCACAGTACTAAAGTAAAATATCCTTAGTATTAACAGATAATGGGTTAGAATCCCCTTGCAATCAAGCTAACCGCGGGAGTTTCGTGTGGTTTTCGTCTCCATGTAACGTTGCATGTTAGTTCAATTAAAAAAGTCCTATACGAAGGTCAGTTTCTCACAAGGGTTGTCTTCTGGGTTGGGTTCAAAATTACAAGAAAACGGAGTTAAAAATTTACAGTCGTAGACTCCGAATTGGATCGGCTGTTCAACGCTGGTTATAAATTAAAATATGAATTAAAATTACTCAGCTCAGAAAATTTTGGAATTCAAGATATAGCTATAGCTATATAGGCAGGTTTGCACCAACTCTAATAAACTTTGGACGCCGCTTAAAATTTTATTTATAGACGCAGGGGTTTTTACGTGTATGCAAGAGTTGTTTAAAGATATGGAAACACTTCTATAGTAATTCTATGTAAAAAATCTTCTTTTTAGCAGGAAAACGATTGGAAAATTTTACATGGCAAAACTGTTGGTACAATTTGAAAGATCATCAGGGCTGAAAGCCTGGGTACGAAATCTGGTACGAAAGGCATTTCATTCAAGCATTTTTTCGAGAAGCATTAAATTTCTTCAATTACTGAGATTTTTTTTTTTATAAATCATAGCATATATATAAAACTTCTTTCCTGAGACAAAGTTTATATTTTTGAATAGATTGAAGAAGTGAATAGATTTTCTCCTCCCGAAAACAAGTTAAAATTGAAATGGTTTTACTACCAGCTTTTCCTCTTTTCCGTCTCGCTTTCACCCATGAAGATCATAAGTTAAATCCCTGAATCTATACATATCTAGACATGCATATATATATGAGCTCTTCACACAAGTTCAAGATGCGTAGTAAAAAAATAAATAAAATTGAGTTCTTCATATTATTGTAACAAGATAAATACTACTTTTTAATTTGAAATTACATGATTACAAACATTTAAAAATTAAAGTGGTGACTAAAGCTACAAATTTTCCACTTATTTTAAGAACAAGTATTTTACCCCTTTTTTTATAAAGGTACATTTTAGATATAAAGACAATGAGGTACATTTTCGTCAATGAATTGGTTGAACCATTCAGTTTTGAATCCTTTTTTTGGAAAATAAACTAAAAGTGATGCTTATGTGCACCGGGTATTTCTTTTCAGGGATGCTTCTTTTTGTACTAAAGGTATTTGAACAACCAAAACACAAAAAATCAATTTTTTTTAAAAAAAATTTAGAAATGCCAAATTTTACGGAATTTTGGATGATTCTGAAGATAATTCAAAAGCCTCGCCACGCTATGAGTATAGCAAAGGGGAATTTTATATTTATGCTTGTATTCTTTGTACGTCTTAGAGTAGACAAAATTATTTTAAATCAAATTTCCATACCCAAAAATTAAATATTAAAACTTAAGATTTGCTACCTTTGGAAAAAGGTATCCTTGGAGCAAATTGTAGGACTGCAAACTACTATGCTTTTTACAGAGTGTCAGACTTTCAGAAACTAAAACTTGCAAAATTATCGTTAATTTTTTTAAAATCTTAAAATTACTAAAATTTATCTCTAGAAAACTGGATCAGCGTGAGACTTTTTATATAAACTTTTAAATCATTCGCATGTAGTGATGGGAAAAAGAATTTTAATAAAATTCCTAAAACAAAGAAACAAACATTAAAATATACACTTTGCTAACACTAGAAGAAATTTTAACACAAATCGTAGAATTCTCTTAGATAATGTTTTGGAAGAATCGACAAGGCCCTTAGAAATGTCTTTTTTTTATCCGTGCAGAATTTGCATCGACAAAAGTGAAGCGCAAAACGTTAAAGGCCGGCATCCCTTTTTAATACCACTAGAATAAAAAAAATCATTCTTATACAAATATTGCAATCCTATAGACTGGTTTCGGAAATGCTAGTATTAAAACTAGAACGAAGTTACTAAATTTTTCTCTCTATTTTGGTGGATTTTCGCTTTAATTTGACATTATTTCAAATGACATCATTTACATTATTACATGACATCATTTCAAATGACAGCATTTACATCACTACATGACATCATTTACTTCATTACATGACATCATTTACATCATTTACATCATTACATGACATCATTTACATCATTACATGACATCATTTACATCATTACATGACATCATTTCAAATGACATATTTAAAAATGACATCATTTCAAAAAGATTCAAACCTGATCTTCCAAAATGAGCCAATAGTTTTGCAATGTAAAATTTTCCAGAACATTAACTGCTAAAAAAAGTTGCTTACATAGAGTTGGTTTCGAAAAGTTTTCATTAATTTGATCAGTCCTGTATTAGAGCCGTGCTAGCTCAGGGGATAGAGTGCTGGCTTGCCAATAAGGTGACCCGGGTTTGAATCCCACCGATGTCTGGTCAATACGAATTCCACAACCGTCTCCCACCTACCACAGTGCTGACATAAAGTATCCTCAGTGGTAGCCGGATTATGAATTACAGTCCCCTTGTCATCTGATTTACTGTAGGAGGTTTTCGTGACTTTCCACTCCATGCAACGCAAATGCGGATTAGATCCATCGAAAGGTCGTCAACGAAGGCAAATTTTTTCCAATACTCGATCCAGGATTTCCCCTGTCACCTGAATTGGGTCCAACATTACAAGGCTACGGAGTTTAACATAGGTAGTCGTAAATTCAAAATTAGGTCGGCAGTTCACAGACGGTTATGTATTATGTTTTGTCTCAGTTCCTAATATTTAATTGTTGAAAAAGCAAGTTTTTTTTAGTTTTTTTTTTTTTACAGAAAATTGACAAGAGAAGTGGTTAAGCGAAACTTTTATCATCTTTTTAAATATTTCCGAAATATTTTTCGTGAATAGGGGAATAATTTAGCAACTTAATATAATAAGAACGCTATATAATAATAAAAAATGAAATGGTAGAATATTCTCAAAAAATAATGTGTACTGAACCAAAATAAGTTGCCTATAGGAAAAAAATGTTTGAAATTTATTTATGCTTGAATACAATGATTGTTGGTTCCAGTAAATTAGAATTAATTTGCTTCGCTGATGGAATGGAACGATAGAAAAAAATCAATACCGTCAATAGCTGAATAATTTAAAAACTGTATATAATAAGAAAGCTATATTATAATAAAAATTGAAATGGTAAAGCATTCTCAAAAAATATTGTGTACTGAAGCAATATAAATTGCTTATAGGAATTTTTTTTTAAAATTTTTTTATGCTTGATTATAATGATCGTTCGTTTCCGTAAATTACAATAATTTGTTTCTCCGAAAACGATAAAAAAGAGATCAAAATGTTGTTTACATTTATCTAGAAAGTCTTGAAGATAAAAGAAAAAATAACAAAGCAAGATTCAAGCCTTTTTCTATTGATATTTTCCTATTAAAGATTAACTCTTTGTTTAAAAAAATAATTTCTCAATAACACATGTTGTATTATACAGCTTATCTCAACTGAAGCTTATTTCTTATCGTATTGTGAGAAATTCAGGTGCAGGAGACTTACGAACGTAGTTTTTGAAATATTTAAATTCGTAACGATTTTTAGAAAAGTTCTCTAATTGTAAGGAAAGAAAAAAATTTTAAGGTAAGAAAAATCGCTTTCTTCTTGCTGAGTTTTGTCTTATTCAATTATGCGTGATATTTATTAAAAGAATGGTTTAATTTTTTAAATTTTTCAATTAAAATAAAATAAAAAAGTGGTATAGTACAAACGCTTTATTATTAGGATTTATTTTCTAAAAACAAGATACATACCTGCAACTTTTACGCGTTTGCCGTAAAATTTTATTTCTATATTTAAAGTGGTAGTAAAATGTATGCTTTCTATATATTCCTTCCATTTATAAACTTTATTTAAAAATCTTTTTGACCACCACTATTTTTAAAAAATTTAAGCATATATGTTGATACAAAATACAGTCGTGCTTGTCCAGATCAGATTTATCCAAAAACGCATATGTTACTTCCTAGAATTGTAATTTAAATTCGAAATGACAACCACTGGGGAAAACCATCCTCGAAAGGATTAAAAGTTGGCAGGTATGACGATACAGACCTACCAACTGGTAAGTTTTTTGCAGAATATTTTATAAAGTGCTAGACATTTAAAACCAAAGCTTTCAGAATTTTGGTAATTTTTCCAATATTTTAAAAGCCTTACCTACAAAAAGCTATAAATAAGTAGAGTTGCATATGAACTTTTAAATCATTTATATGTAGTGGTGTGGAAAATAAGTTTTAATTAATAAAAAATAATGCATTAAAGCATAAAATTAGCTGCCACTAGAATAATTTAAATTAAATCATTTATAGGTAGTGGTGTGGAAAATAAGTTTTAATTAATAAAAAATAATGCATTAAAACATAAAATTAGCTGCCACTAGAATAATTTAAATTAAATCATTTATAGGTAGTGGTGTGGAAATTAAGTTTAAATTAATAAAACAATAATGCATTAAAGCATAAAATTAGCTGCCACTAGAATAATTTTTTACAAAAAGCGTAGAAGGTTGGCAGCCTTGAAGATAGCAACTTTTACTGAAATTCCGGGGAACAAAATTTTTTTGCTTTTATACGGACATGCCAATTTCTCCTCTTTTTGCTAAAGTTTTAATAAATTCGAAGCGAATTAAATAGGAAAACTAGAAAAATAAAGATAATTACGCCTACTCTAAAAGAGTGTAACCACGAGATAACTTCGATAAAGATGCATTTTATATGATAATTTAAATTTTCGTTATGTAGTGGTTGAAAAATTACTTAAAATAGTTCGTTACCACCAGAATATATATTTTTACAAAGCGGAGCAAGTTTGCACTTCTGTTTATACAAGCACTTGACCTTACCCAATTCAGGTATGAGGATTTCAAATCCAAAATTAGTTTTGTTCCAAAAGCAAGTTTTTTTTTCAATGATAATTTAGCTTAGTTTATTTTTTGTCTGATTTTACAAGGAGCGCATAATTTTATATACATAGACAGGGCCCGTCCTAAGCATTCGCCACCTCGCCAAAAACAATAAAATCGCAAATTTTTGGCGTAAAAAACTGAGTTTAAGCGAAAGTATTGGCAAATGATTTTTTCCACTGGAGAGAAAAATATGTATTTAACTCGATCCTCAAAATTACTTCAAAATGAATTTTTCTAAACAAATCACTATTTTTTTATTCGATTGCAGTAATTTTCGGTAGATGCGCCGCATAACCAATATGAATTGGGTCTAAATAATATAAGCCTAAGACAAACTATAGTAAAATAGTTTTCTATGGGAGAAAATTTATCATAAAAATTGCTACGATTTGTATTTGGCGAAGATTTTTGATAATCTACTGGCTAATAATCTACTGGCTAATAGTCCTTAGCGCTCCACACTTGCCTGCTTCTTTAACCCTTTCGGGCCAACTGTCACAAATACGTGCCAGCATAAAACCGTATCAATCAGGTTAAAAAGATTGATCTGGTAACCGAAGTAGTTGCTTAGCAGTTTATTTGTGGGAGGGGTTAAAATTGTTTGATTTATTTAATTCACCATTGTTTTAACTCAAAATAAAATTATTGAGTTATACTTTGAACTAACATTGATTATATTCATGATTAAACTAACAATAATTAAAGTAAAAGCAAAGTAAGTCTTGTCAAATTAGCAACGCCTACATTTAAGCTACCGTTTTATATTTATTTACATCCTGATTCTGGTTTTGTACGAATGCTTTTATGAATCACCCGTCCCCAAGGGCAGAGATGCCAACTGCTCCGGACACGCCAAAATAATTAAAAAAACGGTAAATAACTACAAAGTAAATTTTGCAAATATTTGACTATTTTTGCTTGCTTTTTAACAAGTATAGCATGGCAGAAGTGTTAAAATTGGTGAATTATATAAGCCTACGTATTATTTAGAAATAGTGGTGAATAAAAATCTACTAAATTGAATTTGTTAAACCAAGAATCACAATTGATAAACTACCACTTTAAAATATGTATTTGCTGTCCGGAGTAAGTTGGCATCTATGCAAGGGGTTAAAAATTACGCTCAACAGAAAAAAAAAACCTATGGCGTTAGCTTATTGCATCATAAACTGAGACGTATTATCACCTTTCTACCACTCCCAACGTGTTAAAAATAAGTGTAAATGAATGAAAATAATAGCTTATAACATAAATATAGCTGCCACTAGAATAACTGTTTACAAAAAGAGTAAAAAGTTGGCAGCCCATATATATATATATATATATATATATAGAGAGAGAGAGAGAGAGAGTACCGAAAGAAATATCTCGAAAATACTTTTAATTTTCGAATATATTAAAAGTACTGATGATTTTGATTAATACCATATAATTGCTAGAGAAGATAACTATTTAAATTTTCGATAGATTAAAATAAAATATTTTTGGAAGAAGATTTATTTATAAGTTTTAATATACTAGAATAAAAGAAGAAGAAACTGATATAAAACGTTTACTTACAAATCGAATTTGATAATTCTTTTTCGCAAGAGCTTGAGTAAACTAGAACTTGTGTATTTTAGAAGGATAGGTTTTATAAACTTAAACAATAGCTACTAGCTTTTATATCAATACTATTATCGAATTTTATTTATCAAAATAAATTATCTATTTATTAGATATCACTTCGTATTGTTGTTTTACATATGTCATAGCTTTTAAGATTTTGATTGTTTTTACTCATCTCTAAAAAATGCTTCCGAAATTAGAGACGTTTAAAGTTTTTGTATGTTGTATGAAATATGTAAACATTGAAACACGCGTCTAATTCACTGTCACGCAGCGATCAATTTTTTTAAATCGAAAACAACAGTATTATCACTGATATTAATTTCTAGAATAAACAACACATCTGATTAAAAAAAATGAAAATTAATAAATAAAAACGATGTCTAGTAAAAATTTTTAACAAGTAAAACACCTTATCGAAATTCGAATATAGAACATAGCTCAAATCACAGTGCACTGCCATGAAGCAGCATTAACTGATTAGTCGTATTTTTGAGACATATGGGGGAATATGTGACTTGGGAGTAAAATTAAGGGGAGAGGTTGCCGAGCATCAAATAGTAAAGTCATGCGGGGGAAACCAATCGGTTGAACATACGATGAAATCGATAGGAAATTAAACATAATGTGATTAAATTAGATTAGAATATAATAATATTTACAGGAGTCGTAATAATATTAGCATGTTTGCAGGTGTATTGACACATTGCTGACCGGTCACGAGTTAATTCGTGTTTTCGTGTGGCCAAGCGTTGGTGACCGGTCACGAGTTAACTCGTGTTTTCGTTAGCAGTCATCTCGTGGTGACTATTTTAAAAAGCCGGCGTAATTTTCCTTATTTTCAAGTTTTACTATTTAATTCTCTACCAATTTATTATAACTTTACGAAACCCGATATATTTGCATAACTTATGGTGTACCATTACACGTAGGTGAATGTTCTACTTTTTATCATACGGCATTAGAAATTAAAAGTTTTTAAAGTTTATTTACATTGTTTTACTTCCGCATTCGCTTTCAAAACAATATCCGGGCACATGGGGTAATGTTCAGAAAAGTTGCCGGTCAGAAATGTGTTAAAATAGGAAAATAATAGAGAAAATAAATACAACTAATTACATATTTACATAAGAGTGACAAAAAAAGGTAATATGAGCAATAGATAGTCAGGCAACTACCTTGTCTCTGACTCTGTTATAGTGATGAACCAGGCGTCCTGGCAATACCACTCGTTTCTGGGTTCCTCATCACATTAAAGTTACCAATTTATCATCCCCACGGCTGCGACCCATTTGGGTTGCTCGCACACCGTGGTGTCGATGAATTTTCATGTTTTAGAATGTGAGTGTTTATTTGAGATTAAATTAATGGAGTGAGAGTTTAGGGAATGGGCTACGCCTGTAATACTTCAAGAATTAATAAATTTAAATCACTTGTAGTGCAATGCAATCGTAAGCGTTTTCATAAAATTTAGCGTTGAGTTTCTCCAAGAAGATATTTATATCCTCTATCTTTAAATCGGCTCTTATACTGTTGAAACTGATGCATCTAGGTGCACCCATCCCTTCCCTTACGTCCCTTCCTCTATCTTTAAATCGGCTCTTATACTGTTGAAACTGATGCATCTAGGTGCACCCATTCCTTCCCTTACGTCTCTTCCTCTACCTTTAAATCGGCTCTTATACTGTTGAAACTGATACATCTAGGTGCACCCATCCCTTCCCAACTGCACCCAACCCTTCCAACACGTTCCAACTGCTCCGGACACACCAAAATAATTAAAAAAACGGTAAATAATTAAAAAGCAAATTTTGCAAATATATGACTATTATTGCTTGCTTTTAAAAGGGTATAGCATGACATTAGTACTATAAAGTGGTGAATCATATAAACCTACGAATTATTAAGAAATAGTGGTGGATAAAAATCCACTAAACAGAATTTATTAAACCAAGAATTACAATTGATAATTTACCACTTTAAAATATATATTTGCTGTCCGGAGCAAGTTGGCATCTCTGCTTACGTAGCAGAACGTTTATTTTTGAGACTAGCAGTTAGGGTGGTGGTAATAGCTGGGCATGCGCACGTGAGTATTGCCTTTGTAGGGAGTTTAAGGCAATGTATGTGCCTATGCCTAATAGTAATTATTGTTTATTTGAACCATATATGAAAGTATCATTGTTTCAGCAAAGAAAAAAGTGGTTGCACAATCGTTCCTTTATTAGCATTTGTTTTGCAGAAATAAGCTAGTTCTGTTTCCCATAATACCAGTATAAATATTACTAAAACAAGACTGGCAACCTTTCTACGCTTTGAGGAGAAATTTTTTTCTAGTGGTAATAGATTTTATGTTTCAATGTATGATACTCGGATTAAAAAATTTGACTTAAAATTATTTTCCACAGCACTACATATGAATGAGTCATAAGTTCACAAAAAAAAGACACATTATTCCAGTTCTCTAGTGGTGAGGAATTAAAAATATAGGCAAAATTAACCAAAATTATGAAAGTTTTAGTTTTTGATTGCCTACCATACTATAAAATACTCTGAAAAAAGCGTAGCTGTAAGCAGACCTGCTAATAGACTGTGCCGGAATATTAATATAAATATTTAAGTGGCGTTTCTGGCAGAGTCTTGCACTTCGCTGATCCGTCACATGATCTGAAACGTGGAGTTAGACGATACGTATCTTACCGTAACCATGGTTGTATCTTCGCTATGTCCTTCTCTATTTTGTGGGGTTAGTTGAAAGTATCCTGGCTACGACTTTCGGATTTTTTTATAGGATGTTGCGACCACTGTTAATAATATACCTTTTTATGTGTGTATCTGACATTTTATATACTTTTTAAATTTTTTATAAGTGGTGGGCAAAATTAACTCTAATTTATTACGATATTAACCCTCAGCGTACGGCTCCCACGATTTGAGCAGGATATCTGTTTCGTCTCCCACTACGGGTCACGTGAAAATCGCGGGGGAAGAAATTTTTTCCTCTGATTTCAATACGGATCCCGCCATTTCCCCGTGTACGACCATCATCCAAAACCATCAGCTGATGCTTATTTTCGCTACTAGTTCGGGAATTAAGCAAATTATATAGAAAAATTCGTTGAAGGAAGATAGTAACGCCTACTTTTTAATATAGTAACCAGTAGATTGATGCTTTAACGTTGCATTTCATATCATACTTATAATTTTTGATATTTAGTGGAGAAAAAATTACTTAAAATGAAAAATACTAAACTAAAAGTAACTTAAAAATCACCCCATATTTCAGGACCGGAAAGTATAAAAACTGAGCCAAACGCGGAGGGTTAATACATCACCTTTGCTACCACTAGGAAAATTATTTTCTGAAATCATAGAGAATCATTATAGTAGTTGGAGTCTCTGTATTCACTTAGAACTATTCGCAGTTGTTACAAACAAAGTAAATTACAATTTTTACCGAAATCATATAGTATTTGGAGGGTATGAGAATGAGACTGCCAACAACTACGGATTGTCCTTAGTATTTCATTTTTATATTTAAAGCGGTAATAAATCTTATAAATTTCCTTTTAATTCTTCAATTTATAAATTTAATGTAATATGATTTGGCCGGGATAGCCTAGATGGCAGGGAGCTGGACTCGCATTTGTGAGAACGGGTGTTCGAATCCAGCCGACCGAAAACGTGTAGTAAATGGTGTTTGATGTATGTTAAATTTGTCTAATCACAAAGTCATCCATGTTCCCAAGGCAAATAATACCTCTGGGGGTACTGAATTGGAGATTGATCGTTCTCTGAATCAGGACAAAATTGCGATTTGTGAATGAATTAAATGGATGCATGAATGTGTCCGCCCTATAAACGCGTGTGACATATGCATACCTGCCAACTTTTAAACCTTTTGAGGATTATTTTCCCCACTGGTAGTAAAACGGAATTTGAATTAAAATTTTAAGCAGAAATGAATGCTGTATTTTAAAAAGGCATATACAGAATACTACATCATCATCATCAATATTTATCTGGGCACCTGGGGCCGTTAGCGGCCTTCTTCCCATTCGTCTTGAATTGTGATCTTTAAGATGGTTCTTTTTGGTAATTGCAGAGATGCCAACTGCTCTGGACACGCCAAAATAATTAAAAAAACGGTAAATAACTACAAACTAAATTTTGCAAATATTTGACTAATTTTGCTTGCTTTTAGAAAGGTTTACCATGACATAAGTACTTTGAAGTGGTGAATTATAAAACCCTACGAATTATTTAGAAATAGTGGTGAATAAAAATCTACTAAATTGAATTTATTAAACCAAGAATCACAATTTATAAACTACCACTTTAAAATATTTATTTACTGTCCGGAGCAAGTTGGCATCTCTGTAATTGGAATGCAATTGAAGTAAAAGGAATTTAAATATTTGGAATACTACATCTTTTTTTTCTTTATTTAAACAAAACTGGGTGCCTAGGCCGCGCAGCGGCCCCTACCCCATTCATCATGAAAATTATATACAGTGAATAAAACATTTTGAATTATGTAACAATGTGGTAACATTACAATAAAGTAACCATGATTAGAAGTATGTACAAACTTGATCGGAGATTTACATTAATTGCCATTGAAAAATGAATACAGCCATGATTAGATGGATATACATGAAATATGAGCTTAATCTGTGATATTTATATTAATTGCAGTAGAAATTTGGAATTGAGCATTAAAAATTGATGATAGCATATATACAGAAAATCGGAATTCAAAATCATGAAGATTCTACATAAATTTTGCAAACCATTGGTGGCGCCATCTAGCATGTTTTAATGATTTGTGGTAGCCATAAAAAATCAAGCCGTTTTCTTGTGAAATAATAAAACAATGAAAAAATTCAATATGACAAATCGGCGTTTTTACATAACACTAGATATATTGATGGTAGACTTAAATTAAAAGTAAAGAAAAAATATGATTTGATATGTACAATAATTGATATTTGAAAAATGAAAGACATAATTGATGAGGAATACTACATCACTGTTACAAATTAATATATATATGCTTAATTTCTTGAAAAATAGTGGTGGTCAAAAAGATAATAAATTAAGTTTGTAAAAGCAAGGAATAAATGGAAAGTAAACATTTTGCTACCACTTTAAATATAGAAATAAAATTTTACGCCAAATGCGTAAAAGTTAGCAGGTATGCATATGGGTGCATGGGTGAAAGCCCTTATATAGCAAGACGGAAAAGAGAAAAACCTGGTAAGTAAAACATTTCATTCCAGCATTTTTTTCGTAAAAAATGAAATATCTGTAACTATCAAGATTTCTTTTATAATTCTGGCATATATGTAAAACTGCTTCTTTTCCAAGATAAAGTAGATATTGTTGAAAAATTTAAAAAAAGAATAAGTAAACTCCACCCCAAAACTAGCAATAACTGAAATGGTTTTACTACTAGCCTTTCCTCTTTTCCGTCTCGCTTTCACCCCTGTATGGGTGTGGTAGAAGTCGAATTCTTGACTATAGATGGCGCCACTGAAAAACAAGAACAATCGCTTTAACCCCTTGCTTTAATGGCCCATGACAACAACAACATTTAATATGATTTTGTCTGCCACTAAATGCAAATAAATCAATCCTATATATGAGAGCAAGTTATAGAAATGAAACTGAGTGTAAGTCGAAGCAATAATGAATGATTAATTTTATCTGCAATCTTTTACTACCATTAGAAAAACACTTCCTCGGTAAGAGTAAAAATTGACAGGTTTAGTTAAAGAGTTTAAAATAATCAATTAAAAATCAGAGTTTTGTTTCACAATAAGTTCTTCTATATAGGTATTTCTATAAATTTATCTTTAACGAATGACCAATTAAATACAAGACAAGTTTTTTTGTTCAAATCATAATGAAATCTATGCTATTGATCTTTAGATGAAGTCCTCCATAGTTGTTTTCTCCCTGGTACTCTTGTTGAGTTTCTATTCGACAGAAGCTGGGCTATGCCATTGGCTGTGCCGAAATTATTGTGTAACACCAGGAGTATGTCACGTTGTTTGTAGAATGTTATGCACTGATCCAGACGCAGTGTAAGCATGATTTTAGTCTTTAAAAGTATAGATTTAAACGCATGTCTTTAATCCTTTGAAGCAGATGGGACACCGATGTATATATTTTTATATTTTTTTTTGACGCTGTAATTACAACAAATATAACAAAGTAAATTA